AACTATCAAAGGCCGGCGTGTTGCCATTCTGATTGCGGACGGATTTGACCTCAAGGCGTACGAGGCTATGAAGGCGGCAGTTCTAGCGCAGAGCGCTGTGCCCTGGACGATTGGGACAAAACGGCAGCCTCTCGTCGCCTCAGATGGTTCGTCGCAGGTAAAGCCCGACCACTTCCTCAACGGCCAACGATCTACCATGTTCGACGCCTTGTTTATCCCTGGTGGCGCTGATTCCATCAACACACTGAAGGAAATAGGTCTCGCGCGATTTTGGGTCAAAGAAGCTTTTGGTCACCTGAAAGCCATTGGCGCTGTGGGTGAGGGGGTGCAACTGGTCCATGCTGCCCTGACCGAAGTAGAGAATGTGACTCTGTCTTCTGACGGAAGTGACGGAATCGTGGATTGGTATGGAGTCGTCACGGCTCAGAAAGCGGATTCTGGGAGCAGCGTCAAGGAAAGTATCAAGATGTTGAAGGAGGCAAAGGACTTTACGAGCAAATTCTTCTGGAATATCTCCCAGCATCGGAATTACCCACGAGAGTTGGATGGTTATGCCGAGCAGGTGTCCATCTAGACCGTGTGGCACAACTGTATGATGCCAAGGGTCGATGAAGGGAGAGCAGGGAAGGGGATATGGGAAAGATTGCCCAGGTATCAGGTATCAGGTATCAGCACCAGGATGTGATCCTTTAAGGGCACGAATATATAATGAATGAACAATCAACTCGCTACCCGTGCTTTGGCCCTTTACCAATGTCACTTATTATCTCCATGCCCTTACCACAATAGGCTTGAGTTATATCGAGTGCTAAGTCAGACATCTACCACGCTGGAACCCTCCAATTGGTCCTGACAAGTCTAAGAGATGGAGTTGAACCTCTTCATACAATGTTTGGGTTAGGAGGCATCGAGAACTTTCAACGCAAATAGTACGACAAGAGCCTCCGATACGTTCGGTGTCTGGCTAAATACCTAGATATATAACAAAGTGGCTCACTGGTACCCCGGACCTAAACTACAAAGTATGATTCCATCATCATTCGGTGTCTGCCCGACATTAATTATCTAACCCAGGATGGTAATACCATGCCCAGAACGATATCTTGGAGACGAGTTTTGACTGGTGGATCGGATAGTACAGTCCTCCTTCGCACCGCCTCAAAGTAAGCACTGTTGGCTGGCGACCGAGTTCATCGAATACCACGGACTAGGACGGACTGCGACTAGCGAAGATTATCAATCTATATCTACTTCCCGGGGAAAGTCCAGGCAGTTGATGCCCGATTTTTCTACACCTGCTTGGGGTTTATGTGTGTACTGGAACACATTCCTCCCGGTCTTTTTTGTTGCCCGTCTGAAACTGGTGACTATTCTTGACAAATACCGGGATTAGGAATCACCAGCGGCAGCTCATGGCCTTGCACGGGCTGAATAATGAGAAAGTCTGGAGGAAGAAGCGTAGGCTGCCACATACATATAAACCCAAGGAGTTGCAACCATAGCGAAGAGGCTGCTTCAATTCGCGACTCCCATCAAATCTCTCGGATCTGACGTGTCAAAATGAGGATCCAGCTTGCCATACTGCTTTCTCTCCAGGTAGTCGTGTCTGCCGCAAATCCCGTGGTCAGAAGGACTCTGTATCGGCGGCAATCATTTCCTTCCGAATTCAATCCTGATCCTCAGTCTGGATATGACGACCCGACTATTGACATTGCAGACCCTTCCTTCGCGACCGCCATCCAGGCCGGCTACCAAGGCCCTTTTGCTTCGTACGACAAGCACGAGTTGGTCGGACCTGTGGATCTGCTTCGAAACGGCCACGTCAACTACGGCGTGAACCCGAACTTCACGTTGCCCTTGTACAAAGGTACTTCGGCAGACGGCAAGACCTATTGGTGGATCGTGACAGACACGTCGGATGAAGGAAATGCAAAGCAGCTCGGCGTCAACTTCGCCCCAAAGCTACGCTTTGCCGCACAAGGTCAGACTGGCGACGGGCTCAAAGGTGCAGAACAGCTAGAGATCGTCAACAACGCTGTTTTTGGCCGAAAAGGGCTGGTCGACTTTTCACCCGTGCGAAAGATTGTGCCAGGCAATCCGTCACCGTTTCCGCCACAGTCAGTGCAGCCCGGCAGCGTTGGAGACAAATTCTATACGCCGCTGATCCAGTTGACCAATGCCGGCTACGAAGTATGGAATGCTCCGGTAAGGTGACATGTATCCTGCAGAGTTTGGAGAAAGGATGCTGAATAGAAGCGAGCCAGATTGTCGCAGGTGATGTGGATGAAGACTATCTGAACCAAGTATGCCCCGGACCCTGTCATTTCTGGGACCGAGACGAATATTAACCAAGGGACGTTCTTGTCCTAGTTCTGCGACGGTATTCCCGAAGCGATGCTAGCCGATCTTCGCAGCAAAGCCCACGATCAAGTCCTCTCCATCTGTCCCCGAGACCAGGTCGTCACCCTCGCAACCATCCGAGGGTTCTCGTTTTCCAAATCCGTCCTCTATCTGATCGCCGACGGATCGGACCCGTTGCCCGCGACGCTCGATGGCGGCACGTACGCACCTCGTTTGGCGGCCGTCCCGACGGGGGACGACGACGCCCTTTTCAGCGGGATCGAGCGTTTCTTCGTGAATACCAACGGATACACAAACCGAGATCTCCCTCCTGGTGCACCGAACAACGAGACCCACCATCCGTGGCGACAAGGTCTGAATAGTGCAATCCTGGGAGAGGGGAACCCGTTGAACATCCTCGGAGCAATCCCCACCGTCGCATACGGTACGTATGCACTTCTTCTCCCTCCCTCCGAGCAGACATGTTGGCTCTGGGAGATGATCATCACCACACCCCACCCTCTCATCTGTTTGCCCTTGCTAAGAAAACCACGTTGGCTGCAGATTACTCACCTCTGTGGAACTTCAATCTCTACGCGTGGACCAATTTCAGCATCGAGAACGGCATCCGCACCAGGCTGACGGGCGAATTCGAGGTGTTGGGCATGGCCGCTGCCGGGTACGTGACGAACCCCGACGGCACCGAGCTGAGCGACGCGGGAATTGTCAACAATTGTCCCATCGTGCATCGATTCCTCTGAGTACCTATATAGAATACTAGGGAGGTTTTAATGTTACTCGATTGATAACAATAATGATAATAATCTGTTCGACTCAGGGAGTGGACGAACTAGATAAAATGTTAACCATGGCATCGTGAGTGTCTCGATTGTGACATGATTCGGTGAAATTCATTTGTACTCCTGTCGAGAGCGGGTTGGTTTCTCTGAGAGGGACTGGACCAATTACTGTTGATGTATTTCGCCGTACCTCGTAGTTGAGGGGCAGGGGGAATCTCCGAACGGCGCATCGTATAACCACCTGCAGCTACCCGTTAGGGCGGCATCACATTCATCCCCGATCGAGATGAAGCTGCAATCTTGGCATCTCTCAACTGCGCTTCGCCGTTCCGACTTTCGTAACTTCAACTGCTTCTGTCGAGCATTGAGCATTGACGACCCAAGATGGCGCCCCTACCCACACAGAGCGCCATGCGGCTCTTTCGGGCCTATACCCCGGCCACGAGGCTGACGACGAGATGCCTATCGCAGACGCCACAGCGACGGCTAGGCGAACCCGACCCGCGAGCTATCCCGGACGTCCAAGCTATGCAGATGACCGAAGACCAAGCGTCGATGGTCGAGGTCGATCACAAGCCCGAGCCCTCTGTCGAGAAATATCACCCCGAGCACCAGCCTGATTATACCGCGATGGTCGACCACGGAACATCGACGTATTCTCCCGTGCCGAGGAGGGTGATGAACGGGAGTGAGCCCGGGCACGTCACGCCCGCGGCCGTCTTGTCCGGAGCTCCCGTGGACCTACAGGCTCGCACAGTCAGGTAAATCCGAAATCCCTGGGGCTTTGTTTTGCGCCGCCACCGCGAGGCCTGAAAAGGAACTCAGACTGACCACAATTTCACATCTCACTAGGATCTACAAACCCGTCAAACCCGCCACTCAGTCTGGCACCTGGGGCTCCCATGCCTGGCGGATGGACTGGGACGTGCTGGGAAAGGGCCACCGGTGGGAGAATCCCCTGATGGGGTGGCAGTCGTCGGGCGACTTCATGCAAGGCACCAAAATCACCTTCCGTACGAAAGAGGACGCGATTGCCTTTGCCGAGAAACAGGGCTACGAGTGGTATGTGCAGGAGCCGCAGGAGAGGAGGTTCGTGCCCAAGGCGTACGCGAATAACTTCTTGCACGAGCCTGGGAGGTTGAAGCATATCAAGACGAAATAAGAAAAAAGATGGGGCTGTGTGACACCTGCTTACCTGCATCAAGATTGTGGGATCCGTCAAGGGGCGAGAATACCGAACATCGGGTTTTACACAAGACTGCGATGGATGATTCTAACACGGAACGAGGAAACCTTTTGCCTGCGATGGTTGCGGTTGCGAATGGAGGTGACCCGGCATTATGTACATATCGACAACGAGCTGATTTCAAACAGAAGCAAAAGCAATCACGATATACCGTGTGCTGCCGTTGGTGACAGACGTGTCATTTCCAGGCGGCTCTGTTGTTATAGACGTGCTCTACACATGTCTTCTTCTACACCGCTACGTGCCAGTTCAACATTACCCAAGAGTGATCTCGCATAGTCTCAATGGGGATTACCATACTATCTAACAGTATTAATCTTAGGGCGAGAGGAGCAACAACAGCGAGAAATAGGTAGTCTGGTGGTTTAGGTGGTGGTCTTTTTCAACCAGTCGTCAAAGTTGGTCTATGGAAAACAACAACCCCGTGCAATAGTAGTAGTACAAGGATATCATGTCATCAACATCATCATCAGTCTGGCAGTCGCGTGCCGCCTTCAACTCATCCTGTGAACGCTCATCATTTTACTCTTTCCCGTCAACGTCTGTCAATTCCACCGCTGTCCACTGATATTCAGATAATCAAACAAAACACAACGACAATGACCACTGATATCTCAGTAATTGTGTTTGGCGGCATGCCTATTCACATCGGCCTGACGATTATAGTTCGTCTCGTGCACTTTATCCTTCATGGCATTACCAGCGGCGCGTACGCGAGTCGAGGCACGGACATTGGGGTCTTTGGCAATTCTGCAAATAATACTCCGTCAGCATCCAGTCCTCGATTGCTCTAGCTAGGAATAGAGAAAGGCTGGTGCAAGGAAAACATACGACTTGTTCGTCTCCTTGCTGGCCGAGTGGGCGCCGCCCTTGGTCTTGTTGGAGATCCAGTGGCCTGCTGATCTGAGCGAGTTCATCTTTACTGCGTTTGATATCTTGGTTTCCTTTTGGGTGGTTTTGTTCAAAGTGTCCAAAGGGTGTTTGGGTGTATAAAGAGCTTTTTAGGTTATTGATATTCAGTTTGGTGGTGGAGAATCGTGAGGGAAGAAGAATCCGTCGCGAATATATATACCCACCGTGGCGGGTCACTCTGTTGCTTCCCAACCCGCGAGAATGATAGCAGTTGGCAAGCACGCAGGCACGACTGACGATGTCATAAAGGGTCCTCCCTAGTCCAAGTTCGTGCCAGACACAGCCTCGAAGCCCGAGGAACCTCCAAAGTATTGAGCAGAAGGTCGACGCCAGAAAAAGGCCAACAGGCCAATCGAAGTGGACTCACCGTGGTATGAAACCTGTTTCTTGGTCCTTGTCGGGCTTTCTATGGGTGCTAGTCCCATGTCAACCTGATGACCGATGACGGATGTGGTGTTTTGCAGATCGGTCGGTGGCATTTTGGAGCCAAAGATCGAAAGGCGAGGATGATGGGCGAAACATGATTGACGTCATAATTCGTGGCGCCGGGAGTTGGCCATCGAGTTGGGCGGCGTTGGATCTCAGCCTTGCATGATGAGGGACAAGGCTGGACAACATCAATATAGATACCAAGCACACACTACGGATTATCTAGTGGTTAAGCATATATATGGAATATCGATGTTCTCATTGACGAAAGATTCTACAGACTACTTGGATGGAAGAGTGAAAGGCTATCTGACTATCATGTCGGCTTCATGACAACCAGACAGCAAGCATCCCTACCTATCCCACCAGGTGTTCATGCCATGCGTCCACAGCAAATATACCCTGGATGTCTGTATTTCAGCTCTTGTCTTGTCCACCGGCCACAAGTAGGTCACGGAGGTAAGGCCCACTAGGTAAACTGTTACTCGTCAGCATCATTCCGCCTACCCCAACTCAACGACACACACTGACCTTGCACTTGATGCTCATTGGACCATCCGCAGACATGGCGTGGTCAAGAAGCAACTTGCTGATCTGATAGTTCTTGATCCCCGGCCACACGAACGGCCCACAAGTGTTCCAGCCATGGTCGTTGCAATCCGAGACTTCGTAGATGGTGCAAGATAAGCCATTGTCAGGGCCCATGGAGCCAAGACGTCCGTACCGTCTATTTCACAGCAGGTCAGCATAATCCTATCAAGGCTGATCTCTTCACTGGGCTAGTTGTCTGAGACTGACCTGTTGTAACATTGACCTTCTTTTAAAGGCGTCCATACACACGGCTGCTGCCAGTTTTGGCCTGAACACTCATAGACTCCTCGTTGGGTTGTCGCCCTAGCATCGTGTTGTTTGCCCTTGCCACGTTCGCGATCATCCATTGCGTTATATGATCCATGCTCCTCATTACCACGGCCGTGATCACCGTCACCGCGCTGACTACTACTGTCGCGATCACCGTCCTGTGGCCGTTTAGCGTGGTCATCTTCTTTCTGATCCATCCTCCGAAGTGTCCCCAAAACATCCGCTGTGCGTGCGTGGTGTTGTTTGAAGTTGTTGTCATTTTCTTTGGCCTCCTCGGGCTTATGCTGAGGGCCATCAACTCCCTTGTGATTAGCAAAGGCTCGGTGGGGAGCCTGCCCAGCCTCGCCGCGAGCTTGATGGCGATTTGCTTTACCGGTGCCGTCATCCTTCTGGAAGGAGCTTTTACGTTCACTTTTCTCGTCTTGCTGCTTTGCAGATTGCTGCCAATCCCCGTTTTCGTGGGCACCCCTGTCACCACCCGCAGCAGTGCCACTGGGTTTGCCGTGCTGCGCGACCCCAGCGGCCGAGGCATCTGCTTTTTGCCATTGAGCAGAGGCAGGAGTAGTGGCGGCCAAAGTAGCAAGGGAGGCTAAGAAGACCACTGCGTGTCTAAGAACAACCATTTGTGATGTCTGTTAGCGCGACGGTCAATGCAAAAATACCTTGAGTCTGGAAGCTTGTCCAAGAAAGATTTGAAGCCCATCATTGTGGTTTATGTACCGACTACAGCACGATACCTGTGATCAAACTCTTTTAGAACGAGTCTTTGTTTGAGAGGTAGAAGAGAGCGCTTCGAACAAACGTATCCAACCGCTTTCGAAAAGCCAAGGTAGCCTCGAGATTGGTTCACAAGGCGAAAATGCTGGAATGGGTAGGGAAATGGTCAGAAAAGGGGGTGCTCTACGGGCACAGGACAAAGCCCGGTGCTTAGTATTGTTCTCTATGGAATGAAAGGGTCTGTCTTGATATTGTTCCCTCCAACCACCGATGATTCGCCCGACGAGCGACGGGAGAACGAATTCTTTGTCGGTGGAATGGTCGGATTCAACAGCGTCCTCTGATATAGAGAGCATTGTCCAAGTCAATATTAGTATTCCTCCCGGAGCTGGACGATTTGACCGGGGGGTACGGTGGTTACGCATATCCGAGAGGATCCTGCGTGACAATCGAAGCAGCATATTTCCATTCGCAGAAAGGTCAAACGTGCCGGCGGCACAGTATACCAATCCTTACCCGAGGGAATAAAAAGGGATGTGAGGCACCCCGGCTTCAATAGACGCCAAGAGTGGTAGAACAGGCGCTTCTGTCCGGTGTCGAAATCGACTTTCAGGCGCCGACAGCCGAGCGCATTGGATGGCACAGAATCCGACGAAGCTCTCCTTGTACCGAATCCATACATAAAGTGCAAGGAGTAGAGTAGCCGGGGACAGGGCGGGTAGTATTGGGCCGCTGAGGGCGGTAGGAAAAGACTTTGGGGTGCTTTTGAATGGGTGGCTGGACATTGGATTAATTGCTGGTAGAGAGAGGAAATTTAAGGTTGCAAGCTTCCGGATGCTTCCGCGGCATTAGCGCCTTGGCATTAGCACACATTTCGGCCTCGTACATACATATTGCTTGGAGTAACTTGGAGTTTGTGTTTCTCATTTCACCTCTGGCAAACACCATACACAGCAAGTCTGCTCATCGGATATAGAGCTGCAAGTGTGGTAGCTGTGCTCGAACATGTCTCGTCCAGCCACAGCATAGGCAACTCAACCTCCCACCCAATGCTTTTGATTCAACCACCTCCAGCCTTGATGCTCACGTACTCACGTCTCAGTCCAGCATGCGGAGAATACCAGCAGCTAATTGGGGACCCCGACCACTTCTCCCCGCACATGCCGTCCACCCCAAGCAAAGTATTGTGGAACAAAATTAGCCACGACCGGTCACTCTCCGTACCGTCCCAGAGTAATTCCCTCTTATCGCACGCGCCACGGAGCCAGGCCGTCCGAATACAGCTGGACCCAAGTTATACCTGTGTCGTGGGTCGTCCCCGTCCTTTCCCCGGAATGACTGTCTGGGGTCTGGGGTCTCAAATGCAAATACATCCCATATCCGCCTGATATGTGGTCTGATCTTCTCCTTTAGAGACACTCTCCTGTCATCCTCGAGGAAGCATAGCACTGTGAACGTCATGTCAGAAGAAGCTGCGAACAAAGAGATGGCCAATAAGACCGAGGAGATAGAGGCTGTCCCAAGGCATAGCGAAGTGGCGGCGATTCGAAAGGAGAGCACCGAGGACATTGAGGATGACCCTCATCGAGCTGCTCTCGAGGACAACCCTGAGAGTCCTCAGCGTGTCACTTGGTCAACGATCATGGCCGTCTTTGTAAGTTTCAAAGAACAAGAACCGTCCTTACCCTGGCCCTTATGTTGGAGCTGGCTGACCCAAATGGTGCAATATAGTTCATGGGCTTGTCTTTCGCGGGATGCATTTCAACTGCATTCCTCCTGGCATCGTCCATTTTGGTCCCAATCGGCACCGCATTGGGTGATTTGGAACCTATCAGCTGGATCGCCTCCTCTTGGGCAACCACCTCAGCAGTGAGTATGTCCCTCGGTGGCGGTCTGAGCGACATATTTGGTCGTCGCTACGTTATTATGGCCGGGCAAGGCCTCAATATTGTTGGCGGTATTGTCGCAGCCACTGCTCAAACCACCAAGCATGTTATTGCTGGGTCTGCCATTGTTGGCTTCGGTGCTGGTTTGATCTTTGTCGCTTACGCCGGCATTCCCGAAATTCTGCCCAACAAGTACCGGTGAGTCCTTAACTTTTCACGTACACTTCCCCACAGCTGTCTTTCTGCCTGCAGTGGAAAGCCCCTCGAGCAATCGCTGACTTGGAAAATAGTGGAATGGGTTTGGCATGGACTGAATTCTGCATTACTCTCCCATGGGGTCTGCTTGCCACTCTTATCGCCAATCAACTCAACGAACACGCGACGTGGCGGTGGGTATACTACCTATCCATCATCTACTCTGCGGTTTGTCTGGTTGGGACGGCCATCTTCTACTTCCCACCGGCTCGCCCACGTAAAGACTACGACAAGACCAGATGGGAAGAGTTCCTGGAGCTGGACTTTGTGGGCTACTTGCTCTACGCCGGTGGCTTGACTGTTTTCCTCATTGGAATGAGTTGGGCTGGCGAAGAAGGCCACGCATGGCACTCTGCCTCTGTGGTAGCGCCTATTGTTCTTGGTGCTTTGACATTCATTGGCTCATTTGTCTATGACTGGACCATGAAACCGAAGCTCCCATTGATGCCGCTCCACATCTTCCGCATGGTCCGGGAATTCACCATCTTATTGGTAGCGCTCTTCGTCTCGGGAATGGTCTTTTTCGCCATGGTCTCCCTGCTACCTCAAGCCACCGAGTCGGTCTACGACAGCGATCCGATCAAGCTCGGAGTCGCCTTGATCCCGAACGGTGTCGGTCAATTCATTGGAGGAGCAGTCCTACCTGCGTTGATTCACAAAATCAAGAACATCCGGGCTCAAATCGTCTTGGCCCTCTTCCTACAGACCCTGTTCTCGGCTCTGTATGCCTATGGAATCATACCGCACCACAAGACCGCATGGGTCATCTTCCAACTTTTCGGCATGATGTGTTTCTCATGGATCACTCTCTGCTCGTACGTGGTTGCCGGTCTGCACGTGCCACACAAAGACCTCGGAATCGCGTCGGGATTGGTGGGCACTTTCCGCAACACAGGAGGCAGCGTCGGTATCGCCATTTTCAACACCATCAGAAATGGCGTTCTCAACAGCCAACTGGTCCCGCGCATTGTCAAGGCAGCGACAGCCAACGGATTCCAGGGCGATGAAGCCGCGGTCAAAAGCCTCGTGACGGCCGTGTCGAACAACGCGAAAGGAATCCCCGACGCATTTGCGAAAATTCAGGGTGCCTCTCCGGCTCTCATCTCAGCGACCGCGGAAGCCTACAAGTCGGCATATGGATACGCATACCAACGCGTCTTTTACAGCACGATTCCCTTTGGCGTGATCGCCATCATCGCCGCCCTCTTCATCAAGGACGCCTCGGAATACTTGACAAATCACACGGCCGTGCACATGGAAAAGGAAATCCTGGGGGAACACCACCACGAGAACAAGGCTGTGGATGCGGAGCAGCCGGAGAAGACGACAACGTAGCTTTCTCGTACCATTGGTTAGACGCTCTAAGGCCGGAAATCTAATCAAGAATGCGGCTTTTCTCTCTCTATCAAACACCGTTCTCGCGATTTGCGCTCCCGTTTCGGTGACGATCCCGAAAGATATCCCAAGTCCGAGCTTTTACTGACGATGTCCGGTTCGGGAGGTGTTTGTACGTTTTCCTCTCCTCCCTTGGGAAGAGAGTTATCAAGCAAAGTATCTCGGAGAGAAACGAGCATTTACAGAAGAAGAAAAAAATACAATTGTTCCGTTCTTGCAAGTGCTCCTGAAGCTACCGACTGACTGGGTACTTGGCACCAAACGGGTGGACGCCTCTTATTTATTTTCTCTCTCTTTCTCATACGTTTTTGATACCGTGAAATGTGACAGCCCTATGTGGTTGTGATTGTGATTGTAATCCCCCTCGCTCTGCTTGAACGTTGTAAGAGCATCCACAAGACTCTCTCTCTCACTCTCACACTCATCCCCCCAACACATACCGAGCACACACACACTCTCTCTCCCATGGCTGCAGGCACAACCCAGAACTTTTCACCCGAGCTACACCCGTCGGGTCATGAGGATTTGTTTCTCCTTTTGGAGTAAAAAAAAAGGGGGAGGGGGGTTTGGAGGAGAGGGCATATCTCGGAATACCGAGTATACCAGTACGAGTCACGAGAACACTGTAGGTAATAGGTGAAACAAATGCCAACTCGTAGGGAGAAGCCGCGTGTTGTTGTTTTTTGAGTCCCAAAAGAGGGAAACATGGCGGGTGGAGGTTCATTTACCACGTGGTCGGTACCGTACTTCGTCAGGTAGGTACGTAGACGGGGGACCACAGGGTCTATTGTAGATCTCCAATTTACAAGGGCAAGTTAGTGAACCAGCTGCTGGGGACTCGGGGTCAGAAGTCTCTTTGCCCTTGGGGCTGGGGTAGCAAGGTACTAGGTAGGAAAGTACCCAGTGATGAAAAAGATGGAGAGGCTAAACCTGAAAAAAATCGACAGTGTCATTCAATCAAAGGCTTTTTGAAGCACAGTCCTCTGTCCCTGCTTCGCACTCTCGCACTCTCGCACTCGTGATCACACTGGCAGTGGCAGTGATAGTCTCAGTCTGGCTCTCACGCTCACACCCCTCCATTGCTCTTGCTCATGCTCAATATTGTCCGTCCACAGATCAAGCTGGACCCAGCCACGCTTCAATCAGGACTTCCGAGAGCCTTCAAACAACTTGTATGCTCGCTCTTTCATGCTTTCGAATCAACAATCCCCACAGACATCGCACAGACAAGACATCAAACCCAAAGCATCACGTCATCTCGTATCACTCAGTCCATTTTGGCGCTTGCACCACATGGCAGAGAAACAATACAAAGCGCTGACCACAACTCAATCGGCTGGCCAGAAACCAACAACGGGGTATCTTCCAGAAGGGTCAACAACAAAAACAAGATATCCAGCGGTGAACATTCATATCCGAGTCGTCTCATACACAGCACCCTTGAATGAGCCAT